TACAGACGTCGTATGGGCAGTAACTAGTGGCCCAGCGCACATTTCCTGGACGGAGGGAAGGATGCTACCTTTGGCGAGTGAGGCACCCCCGCAACTTGCCTCCCCTCACCTCGGGCGGCCACTTCACTTCCTTAACAGGCTTTCTCGCTTTGGAGCCGTCAGACGGCCCCTTTCTATCCAGGGCCACAAAGAGTACTTGGCCCTCCCTCCTGCCCCGGCGTCCAGCTGATCGCTGAATCAATAGCAATAAAGTGGGTGTGAACGCCGGGAAACTGCTCATTATTTGCCATTCTGAGTGTGCTTTCTCAGTCCTCCCAGGCCGTGTCTCTGTCTCTCTCTCCCTCTCTCTGTCTCTCTCTGTCCCCCCTCCCCCTTTGCTTTCTCCCTCCCTTCTTAGGAACTGGTTCAACCACAGTGCAATCCACTCATCCGCAGCTGGCCCTGGAGGAGCTGCGCAGCTGCAGGAGCAGCACCAGGGCTCCGGGAGGAGCTCCGCCGACCGGGAGCCCACGCGGGGCCGCGCTGCCCTGGACTCGCTCATGAGGCCTCCGCTGCTTGGGGGAAGGAAGACCCGCGGCTACTCCCTAGGGCTCCTCGCCCTGTGCCTGGCTGCAGCCGGCTGCCTGCAGAGTAAGCGCGGCGCCGGCCGGGCGGGGCGGGGCAGGGTGGGGGGTCCTGCGGCTGTGGGCCGGGCGGGCCGGGCGCGGCCTCCTGGAGCGCGGGTGTGGAGCGCAGGTGTAGCCATTGGCTCCCTCCCTCGCAGTTATCAGACTTGGAAGCCAGCCGCGAGATAACCGGCTCCCTCCTCGACTGACGCCTCCTTTAGTAGGCTTTAAATTTCTTTTTCCTGGAATGAGCAGATTGCGGCCCCTAAGGGCGCACGCGCCTCGTCTTCTTCCAGGGGGACCTTTCCACCCCTCCGTGCGCTTTCTGGGTCACCAGGGCGTCCTGCAGCCGTTGCGACCATTCAGGAGAACGCCTCGCAGCCTGGTCCACAGGGAAAGGGTCCTGCGGGATTGGGTCGGCGTTGGTGCCCGAAAAGGTCCGCAGGATGCACTGAGCTTGGTGATCGCTGGGGGTGGGCCGGCTCTAGCCACGAGCAAGTCTGGAGGTGCTCCGGGTCCCACAAATTACTGACTAGTAACGCAGTTTTACTTTCTCATTGAATCATTATAATTATTATTGTTTCTATCTTACAGTCCGTCAAGTGAAGTTTAGAGAGGACCATGGCCGGGCGATGGGAGGGGGAAGGACATGGAATGAAGGCCAGCCTCTGTTAAGCACTTAAGTGTTCACAGGTTTTCGAACTTTATCATCAGTTCGACCTTGTAAAATGAGTGTTATCTTAGCTATGTTTCACAACAAAGCTGAAGGGAAAGGCTGTGTTCCATGCACAAGGTTAGCAAGTAGTCAGTGGTGACAGCAGGGTTCAAACTGACCTTTACCCTCCTGGCTGGAGGATGCAAACCGCGGAGCCCCAGTGGAGAGCGAAGAGGCATTGTCCTAGGTCCTTTTCCATGGCTGAGACACAATACCTGAGGCCCATATCTTGAAGAAGGAACAGTTTACTTTGGCTCACAGTTTGTAGAGGCTTCTGTCCAGAGAGGGTTGGCTCTAAGGCAGGGCAGCGTGTCCCAGAGGCATGGTGAGGAGAAACAGCTCATGGGGGGG